TGAGATCAAGAGTCAGACACCTAACTGACTGAGCCACCCAGGCACCCCAAAGGCAGAATTTAAAAATAAATACTTATAAGACAGTTTTAAGAGTTATGTGAAAAATATTAAGAGGAGCCTTTAAGTTCACAGCATAGGTGACAGTGATCTCATCCTTATATAAGTTTAATGTCACTTGAATAGTTAACAAAAAAAATAAGTAAATAGGAAAAATTGTTCAACCTTACTGATAACCAAATTAATGAAAATGAAAACAGCAAAGACTTCTCTTTTGCTTACTCAATTTGTGTTTTTGTTAAAAAAAAAAAAAAATTTTTTTCTGATAACCCTGGGAGAAATTTAGTAAAACTGACACTCTCATAGGGGTCACTATTTGAAAAAGCAATTTGGCAATATTTATCAAGACCCATAAAAATGTTTTTGGCCTTTCATCCACTAATTCCACTTCTGGGCATCTACTATAAGGAAATAATCTTAAATATTTAAAAAAAGGCACAGGTACAGTTATCAGGACAAAAGAGAAAAAATTAAAAGTTCAACTGAGGAACAATTAAGTGTTGATGTGCCCACAGAGTGGCAGCTTGTCAGAAATAACAAACAGGTGGGGCACCTGGGTGGTTCAGTTGGTTAAGTGTCCAACTCTTGATTTTAGTTTGGGTCATAATCTCACAGTTCCTGGAATCAAGCCCTACATCAGGCTCTGCGCTGACAGCACGCAGCCTGCTTAGGATTCTCTCTCTCCCTACCGTGCTGGTACATGCACGCACATGCACGTGTGTTCTCTCTCTCTCTCTCTCTCTCAAAATAAATTAAAAAAAAGAAAAAAGAAAAAACAAGAGGGCTGAACCACACAGAACAATGTGTGTCTAATATTTAACTGTACTCTACAAGTACACCTACATAAAAATAAGCTTATGAGGGGTGCCTAGGTAGCTCAGTCGGTTAAGTGTCCGACTTTGGCTCAGGTAATGATTTCGCAATTCGTGAGTTCAAGCCCCGTGTCGGGCTCTGTGCTGACAGCTCAGAGCCTGGGGCCTGCTTCAGATTCTGTGTCTCCCTCTCTCTCTGCCCCTCCCCACTTGTGCTCTGTCTCTCTCTCAAAACATTAAAATGAGAGAGAGAACAAAAAATGTTCTCTCAAAAAAACATTAAAAAAATTAAAATGATAAGCTTATGAAAAAATAGAAGGAAACATGCTAGAGAATACCAGTTATATTAGTTAGGATGGTGGGATTATGAGTGATTTTTTTTCCTCCTGCTTTTTTTCCTCCAAACTTCCTATTCTAGGATTACTTTATTGTTTTAAAATAAGTAAAATAGTCTAAATTGGGAAAAAGGGAAAGAGGGAAGGAAGCATGCAAGAGAGCCAAAACCCTCATTTACTACAACAGAAAGGAAAAAGATAACATTTAAAATTGGTGAGTCAGGGGCGCCTGAGTGGCCCAGTCGGTTAAGTGCCCAACTTCGGCTCAGGTCATTATCGCGCAGTTTGTGAGTTCAAGCCCCACATCAGGCTCTGTGCTGACAGCTCAGAGCCTGGAGCCTGCTTCGGATTCTGTGTCTCCCTTCTCTCTGTCCCTCCCATGCTCATGCTCTGTGTCTCTCTCTCAATAGTAAATAAATGTTTTTAAAAAATTAAAAAAAAAAATAAAATTGGTGAGTCAGGCAATAGCCGTATTTTTACAAATACAGAATTAAGAAACAGGCAAGAGAGCTGAAAGCAGGTACCTCTGGGCAGAGGGAAGTTGTGGGGACGGTGGAGAGGACATAGAATTTTGCCTACTAATTGGACAATGAGTTACAACATAAATCGTAACAAAATGGACGATGATCTCTGCCCCTTAGCTACTGTCCCCAGTACACAACCCATCTGTCCTGCTGCTCTAAGCTAAGAAAACTATTTTTGCCTGCACTTATTCTCCAAACACCAAGTGCTGATTACATACATCTTTGGGATTTCTCTCTGAAGTGGCGCTTCAGGTGCTCAATCAGATGGGAGTGCCGGCCAAAGTTTTTCCCACACTCGGTACATCCGTAGGGTCTCTCCCCACTGTGCACACTGTGATGCTGGACAAGGTGCGAGCTCACGCGGAAGGCTTTTCCGCACACCTGACACTTGTACGGTTTCTCGCCAGTGTGGACACGCTGATGCTGTGTCAGGTGCACACGCTGATTGTAGCTTTTCCCACATTCACCACACTTAAACGGTTTTTCTCCAGTGTGGATTCGCCGATGTTGAATGAAGTTTGAGGCTTGAAGGAAAAATTTACCACAATCGTTACATTTGTGACCTCTCTCACCACTTGTGCTTGTATTTTGCTTACGGTTAGCATCTGTGATGGCACCAAGATCTCTTTTCTGGGAAGAGTTCTGCCTTGATTTCCCCACAGCGGGGTTTACCTGCCACCTTTCTACCATGCCGTGAAGATCACTAACTTCTCCAAACCCTTGACTCTGGGGAACATTTCTTTCGGTGCTTGCTGACGTCACCCAGTGGGCTTCAGCATCATCAGAAATCTGCTTTACCATGAGTTCCACGTTGTCATTCCTAGACTCATAATCTGAAATGATAGAAGGAAAATGGAAAAATTAGCTATTTTCCATACTGGAAGAAAGAAAATGAGAGATACAGGTAATTACGAAAGCAACACATGCTAGCAATGCATGACTTGGTAAAGGCAGCCTTATGCCACAGAGATGGGATGAAGATTCCTCAAGAAGAAACAGGCGGGGGGACGAAGAGTTGCATCAAACAGATGACTGGGAGACCAGTCATTCTATTTAATGAAGGTGATATCCTCTTGGTGTGGTATTTACAGTACCTGTTTGTGCATATCTATGCAGTATTAAATATTCCTAACAAGGGGTGCCTGGGTGGCTCAGTCAGTTAATATCCGATTCTTGAATTCGGCTCAGGTCCTGATCCCAGGGTTGTGAGATCGAGCCCTGTGTCAGGTTCCATGCTGAGAGCACAAAGCCTGCTTAGGATTCTCTTTCTCCCTCTCTGCTCCTCCCCCACTCACACTCTCTCTCTTAAAATAAATATATAAACTTAGAAATAAATAAATAAATATTCCTTTAAAAAAATTTTTTTTAGGGGCGCCTGGGTGGCTCAGTCGGT